TAAATCCTACCTCTATGATGTTAATGAGGCAGGATTAGAGGCAGTTATGTTAATGAGGCAGGACTCAGTCTACAGGATTAGGTTGTATCTTGAGTCAATTTGTTTTGAGATATAAAGTAGAGAATTGATGAGAGGAGGAGGACCTCATACCACCAAGAAAGAAGCACCTGGAGCAGACTGCATCCTTTGGACCTGGGGTCCCTGCACTGAGAAGTTCCTAGACCAGGGGAAGATTGATGATAAGGACCTTCCCCCAGAGCTAACAGAGAAAGAAAGCCATTCCCTAGAGTTGGTGCAGTGAATTCAGACTTCTAGCCTCCTAAACTGGGAGAGAATAAATTTTTGTTTGTCAAAGCCATCTACTTATGGTATTTCTGTTACAGCAGCACTAGATAATTAAGACAGTTGCCACTGAGTCGATTTTGACTCATAGTAGCTCCATGTGTTGCAGCATAGAACTGCTCCATAAAGTTTTCAAGGCTGTGACCTTTCAGAAGCAGATCACGAGGCCTGTCTTCTGAGGCACCTCTGAGTGGGTTCAAACCACCAACCTTTCAGCTAGTAGTCGAGCATTTAATTGTTTGCACCACCCCAAGGACTCCCATGCCAGCATGAAATAAGGACTGGTTTCTTCTTTCACATATTTAGGATTGCAGGTTTCATGGGGTAAGTCTGAAGGATGGGTAAATATGTCTATCTAGGTTTGTTTATCTCTAGGACTGTTCCATCCACATTTGTTCCCTTACTTCATATCCTTTATTTTCAGTGTTTTCTATAATCTCCCTGAACAACTTCAGTCTGATCCAATCTCCCTATGACAATAACTTTGATTTTTTATTGCCAGAAGCTCCAACCATCCCTCCCAATTTGCAGTCCTACATAATGAGATAACTACAAAGGCCTTTATGGTGGGGAAGGGAGGCAATATACATTACCAATACTTACTCTCTAATCCAATCCATTAGTTCTTCATTGTTGAGCATATTTGTGGATTCTGTTGATGCTGGGACTAAAGAGATAAAAGACACATTTTTTCCCTTTAATAATTAATTTGTCCATGTCTGTTCATGACACAATTCTTGTGCAACACTGGAGTTCAAATCACCTAAAACATGTTTCCTATTGTCTCTAGTCCTTGAGTAATACCTCCTTGCAAATAATTGTCTTTGTTGACAAAGTGTGTGCCTATTGATTTTTCCCATTAACCTTCCTTCTACATTGATTTATAGCCATCCCATTCATCTTTCTCTCCTATAGGTACTGATGGGACTGCGGGATCCACCACTGACCTTCCCACACATGAAAGTTCTGCATGGCTGAAAAGTGACCCTTCAACCCCCATGACTGTGGTTGACTCTACAGGTATGATGGCACTTCATCTCCCTGCCACCAAAATTTGCCTTTCAAGGGGCCTTGTTTTCTGTTCTCTGATGAATTACAATTTTTCCGGAAAGAGTCTGAAGAGTTGGCGCCACCTTTTTTTCCTCCTAAATATGCTGTAGGTCTCTCTTCCCTGTTTCTTCAATATGAAACTTAAGTATTTTCAGGAACATGAGACCAATCTGTTTTTAGATGACTTCCATTAGTGAGATGGTTCTTACTAAAAGAGGTCTGAAACTAATATGACAGGAATTGATCAGGCATGGTTGACGATTTCTGGAATGGTCCTTAAATGGAAAAGAGCCACCATCTTGGAAGATGTGAGGTAATGAGAAAGTTAACTCTGTGCCGTGAAGGTATTCCCAAGGAGGAAACTGCTCTGTCTCCTCAGGCAGAAGTGATGGAGGCCTGGAGACTGACCAACCTTTTTTATAATCTGCTTTCCCTGCATTTAACTTCTCTATGAAGACCAAACAGGAGTCTCCAAAATGGAGAACAATAAGAGAGGAGAGATACGAAATTCTTCCACAACCCCTTAGAAATAATATTCAGCAGTCAAGGTTTTCAGATAGGCACTTAGTGAATAAGGCCAAGCATGGAAAAGGAGCAGAGGACACAGAAGAAAAGGGACAGAATCTCCTCCATCTTGGTGAGATTTGGGATTTGTTCCATGTTCTCTTAGAATAAGCTCAAAGAGATTAATCTGATAGGTATGGAAACCTCACCACAATATTTCATACTTCCTCAAATCCCCAGTATATGTTTTAGCACATGGAGGGCTGGATGGGAATAGGGATACAGAGAAGATTCTCTCAGGGAAAGCAGGAACTGTCCTCTGCAACCATAGACAAGCAAGAACTCCAGCTCCACTGTCATCTCACATTTTCCACCCAACCAGGTGATCCTGTCACAGACCTGTCCAGCAGCATCCAAAGGACAACAAGGATGACTGATATATCCACTATCCAAAGCTTCAGGGATCCCACCAGTATCCAAGAGACCAGAGTCACTATAGAAGGAAAACAGTGCCATCACAGTGCCCACCCCTGGATCTTCCCACCTTCAGTACCCCACTCCCATAGGGTCCACAGCTAGGTGAGGCAAAAGTACAACAAACATCCCAAACAACACCTTCCTGTTCTCCAGCTCCACTGCTCCATCTGAGTCATTTGCAGACATGACCCTGGATGAAGAAAGTACCCCAGATTTCACTTCTGCAGCTGAAATTACCCCTGGCTCAAACACTCCGGAAACAGCCTTTCATTTGGGACATATCCCTCTGTCCTCTCTGAGTTAACACCTAGAACAATTCCAACTTCTGGGGAGAGACCTAGCATAGCTCATGCTCCTGGGAATGATTTCTCCTTTCCTGGGACAAGCTCCATTGATGGGACCAGAAAAACTACCTATTTTTCTCCGACACCATCTACCACAACTCTAGGTGATGATGGTCCAACCCATGTGATAATCAAAAGCACAATCTCAGAGGAACTCGTTTCCACCACAGGGTCTATTTAAGTCCAGCTGTCTTTCCTCCACCTGCTATGAACAAAACTCCTACGACAACTCTACCAGCTGTGAGTTTGCCTGATTCACCTCCCTCTGCCCAAAGAGTGCAGTGAAGAGTGGCTTGTCTCCCAGTGCTTTCCCTGAGGACACAGACACACAGGGAACCACTCAGGCCAAAACCAACATCTCACTCAGGACTCCTGGCTGAATACAGGGTTCAAGCGCCATGAGCTCCTCCACTCGTGTCACAAACCCTGACCTAGAATCTGCATCTGGCACATACATTGGAACAGCAGCAGAAATAGTTAAAGACGTTTCACTATCAGTGGCCCCAACTGATACCTTGGATTCTGGCAGAGAAACCAAAGCCACCTCTCCTAACCTCACCATCATCGTTATGACCAGCCCCAAGGAGGGAGTCAGAACCATGGACAGCACCCAACCCACTAAGGCCATGATAGGATACCCAGGGATCACACCCATTGGTGGCTCAATAACTACCTCTCTTCCAGTGCCAGTCACTTGGGAAAGCCCAGTTACAGCTACCTATACCACTCACTGGCAAAGTCCTTCTTTACCAGAAGTGCTTTCTGCAAGACACACTATCACCCCAGGAAATAACCTCTTTGCAATCCCTGCCTCCAAGCCCCATGCTGACCCTGCAGCCACAACTTCAACAAGACCAATGGTATTATTAACAGTTCAGACTCCTGAACATACAACGCTCACAAGTAGACATAAAACCAGTACCTTTGCGACTAAGATCAATAGTACATCAATTACTGCTGAAGACAGAGGAGCTTCCACTGGTTCTAAGGAGATTACAAAAACAACGTTGGCACACAGAAACACAGAAGCAGAGGTAACAGCAGCTTTGCATATTTCCACAGACCATTCTAAGCACTCAAGTGCAGATGTAGAGACAAGTGTGTCCCTGTCTACTTTGCAGCCTGGCCAAGCCACCATGAGCCTTACCAGTACCTTGGGAGTAAAATCCAGCTCCTCCACACTTGTCATTTCCCTATCAGTGGAGCCCAAGATTCAGAATTCTGTCACAGAATTAGAGACTCATGACACTGCCTCTTCATCTGAGATTTCACCTGAGTCTTTATTCCCTACTAGAGTGACCAGTGGGGATAGCTATAAGGCTACCACTCCAGGTGTCACCAACAAAAGTTGGTGGGGAACAAGCTCAGTTCCAACAATAATGCCTAGCCTAGAGAAGGGTTCCAGAACCAGGGACAGTGCCCAAGCACTAGACACCAGCACAGCTGCCCCATGGACTGTCACAGACACAGCTGCCCACTTACATGCTACTGGTTCTCCCAAGTCTGGTTCTTTTGGAAGAATACATTCTTCCTTAGCAACAATAACTGCAACAAGCTCTATCTATCCTCCTGTGACTTTCACTGGAAACAGTCTGGCTACTTCATCCTCCTCTTATTCAGCTAAAGTCATGGAAGCTGGTACAAGTGAGAGAATGTTAAGTCCAGGGGACACAGCTACATCTGTTCTCACCACAACTTCTGATGAGCAAGGGTGATAACTTAGTCTCTGCGATTTCAGATACAACTGGGCTTCCAAAAGCCCTGAACTAACAACATTAGATGTTTCCATTACTTCTTCTGAAAAGCCAAGCACACAGACGGACACAGATGACCCCTTTCCCACTATTCTGCCTGATTCTGAGTCCACCTTGAACTTGGCCACAAGTGGATCTTCATCACCAGCAATTATAACCAGTTCAACTCCTCAAAGAGACACAAGTTCCCAAGAACACGTTAGGGCCTGAGACCAGCCCAATCATCTCAATACTGGCTTCTTCTTCAGGGACTAGGACAGGTAGGGCCAAGTACCCATCAGTGGTCAGCAGCACAGAAGTGACTGTCATGGGAGCACCAGTCTTTACCAGAACTGAAGCAAAGCAGACCATGGCATTTAGTCTCCCAGGGCACAAGTCCACAGTAGCAGTGACACTGCCTGAAGTGACTCTGATTCTGAGTACAAGTGCCCAGAAACAGAGCCTAAGGGCACCTACATTAGAGATGACACCTTTACCCATTTCCAGGAGTAAGGCACAAACAATCTCAATACTATTACTTACCACTGAGATGAGAGGAATCTCTGCCAGCTCAGTGGAGCTTGTCAGTGAAGTCCCTTACTCTCCTGGTCTAGAGCAAACCATAGCTCCAGTGAGCGCAAACCCAGAAACTGGGAACAGTTCACCTCCAACTTTGATCAGCACCTCAGTGGAGAGACTGGATGATTCTGAGACCACCACAGACACCATAGAGGGAATTCATCCTTCCACAGATGCATCAGTCTCCACTGTGTGGGCAACCAGTTCTGGGACTGAACTACATTCCTCTGCTTCTGCTCACTCGGAGTCACACAAGATCACATCACCCATGGTTACTGAAACCACTGTGGAGGCCACCACCGTTTCTTCTTCAGCTTCTATTTTTCCTAAGTCTGCAAGAGCTAGGGCAGAACCTAACTCCACACAGACCCCTGGACTGAGGGAGACGAGTATTTACCAGGGTGCCAGCTCAGCCACAGACACAAGCATGACCATTTTCCAAATGTCCAGTGCTGCAACTACTGAGGTCCTGAGGACAGAGTTCACTTTCTCTGAGAAAATATCTAGCCCAGATCCTATTCAGTCCTTGGAGGCCCACAACATCCCCAAAGGAATGAGCACCAACCATTGTATTTCTCCTCTCATGACAGAATCTGAAGATATGACCACCACACCAAGAGGTCCTGATAGGGCTACATCAGAGGGTGTCTTTACTCTGCACAGCACAATCATCGTCTCCTTGGAAGGAACCCCCTCAGCTGAGACTCAAGGTTTTCCACTCTTAGAGATGACCATTCCTGTGAGTAGAGGACCAGAGGCTCTGTCATGGAATACCCTTCCTCTGAAGAAGAAACAAGGTCCCTGTCTTCACAAGTACCTGTTTCCAGCTTAACTTCACCTTCTTCCAATTCATCTGAAGGAGCGGGATCCAGGGATCCCACTTCACCTCCTCCTACCTCAGGACTGATGCTATCTCCAAAACCTACAAACATTCAATCCCAGAAAACCACAGGTGTCCACGGAACTAGTTTCTTAAAAGGCTCCTCCTTGACCCTGGGCACTCCTACTGGAGAAGACAGGACCATTAAGATGACCTCTATAGACATCACTAACTCAGTCGCTGGGAACAGACCACCTACATCTCACATAGCTGAGAAAACAGCTACCAAGGAGCGCTACACTGGGGTACAGGCCAGCTCCACTCCAGCCCCCAACATTTCCACCCCATTTGCAAGAAAAAAACCATTCTTCCTGACTTCCTTGGAATTGGGGTTCTGAGGTTTGGTAGGTATAGTTGAATGGGCAGAAAAGAAAAATTCCTGTTGAGGCTCACCTCTCTGCTTCCACATCAATCACTACTATGGTCATTCTGTTCTCTATTAGAAACTAGTGGCACTTTAAGCATCCTTAACCTCAATTCATTCTCTCCCAGTCAGAGTCTACCGTTCCCCACCCCACGTATGAACTATGAAATAACAACACTTCTAAAACAATATTAAAGGAAAGTAGAGTGACTAATCAAAACATGTTATTTATATCTTAGCTGATATGATTCTGGGATATTACCCTGATTTACTAATTTAAAGTCAAAAATACGGGCAAGAAAAACCAAGTGATATTGAATACACATATTATAAGTGGTGGAGACAGAATATTTCAGAAGTGCTTTCTGCATGAGACCACATCTCACCAGCAGTTCCATCAACAACAGCTCTGCCTTCACTATGATCCAGGCCATCTTCAGGATTTGATTTTATACCAACAAGGGAATTACTATTTGAGATATGAGAGTGTTCCTTGTGCACATGCATACCAAGGAAACGCATGACTGACACTTCCACCCTCTTCTCCTTCAGGGCCTGATGAGTCTGTGGTGATCACAACTAGGGAGTCACTGACAGAACGGGCACATGGAGGTAGCACGTGGTCAACCGGTGATCCTACGTCTCCGGTGACTACCATCAATCTGGATCTGGGTACGTATGACCATCTGTGCACTACTGTACTTGGGTATTTCCTCCTGGTCCCTGGAATACAGCCTTTGATTCCTTAAACCCTGGGTTCTGGTAGATGAGGATTAAGAAAACAAACAGTTTCTATCAAGTTGATTTCAACTCATGACAACTCCAAGTCTGTAAGAACAGAACTGTGCTCCACAGAGTTTTCGATGGCCGATTTTTAGGAAGTACACTGCCAGGCTTTTCTTCTGAGATGCCTCTGGGTAGACCTGAGCCTCCATCCTTTTAATTAGCAGCTGAACATGTTAACCATTGACACCACCCAGGGACTCCTACATGAGGGTGACTTCCTGCTATTATACACAGACGCTACTGCTATTTTTACACGAGAATTTTATTCACTCCTAACATTCATTGCTTCTACTTTGTTAAATGTGATCAGCAGTCAATCATATCACCCTTAGGAGACGACACAAGGTCATTTCTCTATTCTCTGCACATCCACTGACTAAAGGTGAAGTGGCTTCCTAGATCAGAGACCATCAGTAAGGTCAGAGGTTGAGAGCGAAGAAGGGTGAACGTGAGATAACGTAGGTTTGCATTATGGGACACTTTACTGACTGCAACAAAACAGGAAATAATTGTGGCCCTATTTTGTGGCTTCAAATACACGTCCTGCAGTTGAGAGGAGGTGTTCATTGAGGTGGTGAGGCTGAAGAGGTCAGTTGTTCTGATTCCTGAAGCAGTCATGTGATATATCCCTCAGTGCTGGAAGACAAAAGAACTCTCAGGTGATGAGGGAGTGAAAGGAACCTAAAAATGTACAGGAAGTAAGACGCCCCATATTCATTCGTCTTCCCCTACCCTGCTGAAGCTGAAACAAGGAGGTAGCCTTCAATTAGACAAAAACTTCCGTTTTTGTTTGAACCATTTTTTATCGTGCTAAATATATATGTAACGAAACATTTTCCATTTCAACAATCTTCACATGTACGATTCAGTCACACTAAATATGTTCATTATGTTGTTCTGCAGTACCATTGACCGTTCCCAAATTTCTCCATCACCCTTGACATAAGCTCAGCGTCTCATAAGAGACACACAGTTTTGTCGTCCAAGGGAGAAAGGAAGTTTATCAGACTAGAAAATGTTGATTAAATCCTGGTCTCAAGGAGGAAAAAGGGACTAAAAGAAGGAAGAGATTCCTCCTTATTCCTGAGTGAAATCTTTACCCTTCACTATGCTAATAGCCATGTAGATTTGTCTGTGTAGAGGCCAGGCTGCAGACACATATTTTAGTGCCAAAATGAGATCTTCAAGCCAGCAAGAGATAACAGGGAATACCCCATCTTAGACACAGAGGTAGAAAATGATACCTGCCATCTAGAGGGCTCCAAGGCCCAGGGGTTCCACAAGTAGTTTCTACTCAGCTACTAGCTAAAGGTTGGTAGTTCGTAGCCACACAGCTGTGCTGTTCAAGGAGGGCCTGGTCATCAACTTCTGTAAACATTACAGCAAAGAAAATCCTCTGGAGCAGTTCTACTCTGTATCACATGGGGTCGCCACGCATCTGAATTGACTCAACCGCAATGGGTTCGATTTCACGGGGCCAGAATACGGGCTGAGGATATAGTAAATAGATTACAAGGAGGGAGGAAAGAAAATCAAAACCAAAAGAACTCCCCTTCCACTCCTTGCACATCTCCTAACTAAAGAGCTGTTCTACTCACAGGCCTGCCCACCAGAAGCCCAGGAACACCTCAAGATCTCATGAATCCAAGCTCCGAGGAGCCCAGCAGCAGCCCAGGGACGAGATCCCCTGTGGAAACATCTCCGAGGGAGACCCTGACAGAAACGTCTCCCACACATACCACGGTGGCACTGCCGACCCTTCAGTCCAGGGCCACACAGAGTGGTAGCACGAGACTCCCTCACCCGCACACAGGAGTCACTGTGCCAGTGGAGTCACCAACAGAACAAACAGTGCCTATGGAAAGGGGTTCCCTCTCCCCATCCCCATCTGAGACTTGGGCCAAGCCCTACTCTGGGACACCAAGAAGGACCAGCCAGTCACGGGGCACACTGTCCTCTTTTCCCACAGAGTCAAATCCTACTGGCACCAAGGGGACAGGCAAAGAAAGCATCCCTGCTCAGACCCCCAAGACAGATGGAATAGCCGTGTACACATGGCTTGACCCCACCTGGGAGGCCAGAGTGGACACAGATGTTCCTCTGAGCACATCTTCCACTGACCTAGAAGATTCTGCAACAAGCTTTATCACCATCCCAAAGATAACCATAACCTCTGTGACAGATGAATCAGCTGTGACTGGGGATGTTCCACTCTCAGAGATGACCACCCCCGTGAGCAGACAACCAGAGGCTCGGCCACAGACAAGCCCTTCCTCTGAAGAAGACACCAGATCCCTGTCTTCAAAAGTGCCTGTCTCCAGATTAACCTCAACTTC